AAAAAAAAAAAAAAAAAAAAAATTCAAACAATTTGATTTATAGTATTCTGGTTCAAAACTATGCAGGTGTGAAGTTTATCCACCAGCTATACGGTGCCTCTAAACACCAGGCCAGACTGAATACCTCCTGTTTTAGTCAGAATGTAAAACTGAAAATCTATGGCTCTTTATAAGTTGGAGGTATTTTGAAAATATATATATAAATGTATGATTAATGTGATTAATTTATTTCAGCTTTACTGTTGTTTAAGGACTACTGGAAGTAACTAATACTATTTTGGGACTTTTTTAATAGGGTGACAGTGGTGGACCATTAATGTGCTACTTACCAGAACGTGAACGATATTTTGTAATGGGAATTACCAGTTACGGATATGGCTGTGGTCGAAAAAATTTTCCTGGTGTCTATAGTGGGCCATCCTTCTACCAAAAGTGGCTGACAGATCACTTCTACCAGGCAAGCAATGAAGGCATATTTAATATAAATATTCTACTTGGACAGGTCCTTGTAGCCTTAGGTTCTGTTGTCTTACTAGCAGCTCCATAAAGAAATTCTGAAGAATCTTTATTTTGCCTCATGTCCCTTTCCATGTTCTACATAATGAAAACCATTTATTCTCTTGACAAGTAATTGCCCATTTTAGAGTCCTCATGTGGACATTTTCTGGAATAAAAGGATTGTGACATATTAGATAAGTGATTATAAATTTGGCACTGTATCACATGCTTCCTTGACCTATCTTGTACTTTATAATCATACTTTTTCATTTGGAATACCTTCCTAGAGTTTGTATAAAATATTCAGTTAAATATATACTTTATGTATATAAATGTCAAATAATAAAGAGTTAATAATTTTAAAAAAGTTGTTCTTTTGTTAAATTAATCAAACCTTATTTTTAAGTTAGATTTTATTTTATTCAAAAACATTTGTTTTTATGATATATATTTTTTTGAATCATCATCTTGTTTCTGGTTCTCAAAGGATATTTGAAGAAGTAAGTATTTGCCTATTTTTCAAATTCTCATTAAAACTATTTAATATTAATACTTCCTTTCCTGTGCCAAGAGAGAACTGTGGTGCAAACACCCCCAAATAATTTACTTTTTATTTAGAAATGTATACTGTGACTTTTCTTTGCAACGTTATAACCTATTTTCTGAACATTATTTTCTTGAAGCCCATGCTAAAGGTCTGTATTCCTTGGGCCCTGGAATTAACTGTGAGGAGAGGTGACAGAAGAGCATGCTGGGAAAGGAGGGATGCCAACCTGGGATTAACTTTACGATGACTAATCTTTAATATGGATTATATAAAACAAAAGAAAAAATTGACTGGTTTAGTATCTACTATTAATCAACTCACATCTCCCTTAAACTTTGGAGAACCCATGTAGTAAGGGAGAAATAATTATTTTCTCATCCTTCTTTTTTACATTCAACCAGCTAAAATCATGTATTTTTGTTGTTTTGTTTTGTTTTGCTTGGCTTTAACCTAATTTCAGGATTTAACTGGAAGCATGAGTTTTCCATCAATTAATTCCCTTGAGGATCATTACTGGTTTAACATTCAAGGGGCAGAAAACTGATTTTTATAGGTTTATGAGCAACACTGATACTGACTGTTCTTTCTTGAAGGAGACCCTAGTTTATCCACCAACAAGGTCTTATAAGGAATTAGTTGGTGATGCTTTCATAGCAATCAGTATAATACATTAGTCATTTCCTGTTTATTCTACCTGACTATCATTCAGATTCACTTGATAAGCCCTGGATATTAGTTGATATTAAGAAACTCTTCTAAAATGTATTGACAGCACTGGAGGAAAAACCCTTGCTTTTCACTTCAAAGGTATGTCCGTCCTACTTACTGCTTAGGTCTGCCTTTCTAATCAGGCAGGAGCTACTGTCTGTAACCTCTTACCTTTTCCCCCAGCTTAGTTCACTTATTTCAGCCAACCAGAATTCAGTTATGTAACATTGCTCTCCAACACAAGAGATAAGACTTTGGAATCTAAGGTAGACTTTGTTTCAAATTTCTTTCTGTTAACTTGGTCACTATAAGAGTTTGGACAATTATTAATACCTCCTTGGCACCACTGTTGTGAATGATTAAATAAGTTGATTACATGAAATTCTTGATATATTGAAGGTGTTCAATAACTGGTTACTGTTTTTACTGTTACTGTTATTATTATCCCATCCATGATTCATACGACCCTTTTCATTATATAGATCATTATGTATTAGATAAATACCCTATTTCTTTCATCTGAAAAACTTACTAGAACAAAGGACTCATTCTACTTATAAACTCAAATTTTAAATTATATTATTTTTTAACATAAAAGAAGCAGACTCACAGAGAGAACTAGTGGTTACCAGTTGGTGGGGGCGGGGGGTGGAATAAAGAGGTGGGGAGTGGGAGATATAAACTACTGGGTGTAAGATAGGTTCAAGGATATATTGTACAACACAGGGATATAGCCAATATTTCATAATAACTGTAAATGGAAAGTTACCTTTAAAAATTGTATAAAAATAGGGGAATTCCCTGGAGATCCAGTGGTTAGGACTTGGTACTGTCACTGCCATAGCCTGGGTTCAATCCCTGGTGGAGGAACTAAGATCTCACAAGCCATGCAGAGTGGATGAAATGAAATGAAATGAAATGAAATGTCTAAAAAAAATTTTTTTAATTTTTAAATTTTTTTAATTTAAGCATATTATTTTAAATGTTAATTTATTTTATTTTTCTAATTCTCCAAATAGTACATCCTCATATTAAACTTTTGAAGTACAGAAAATAAGCAGAAAGAAAATCATCCATAGCCCTACTATAGCTACCATAGCTACCATAAGTCCTGCCTATTTCACTTAGTATAATGATTTTTACAAACTCTTCTTAAGCATTATTTTATCCCAGCTATTTTGAAATTTTTCAATCCTACAGAAAAGGTGAAAGATGAGTACTATGATTGCCCACTTTTATTCCCCAAATATTAACATCTTGCCCTGTTTGCACACTTTCTCTCCACACATACTTTTTTTTTTTTGGTTTAACAATCTGAAAGTAAATTGCTAACATCATGTTACTTTATCCCTAATACTGCAACATGTATCTCCTAAGAACAAGAATCACAATACCATTATCACACCAATGAATTTTAACAATGATTTAATAATACCATCTAATATAAGGTCTATATTCCAATTTTCCTGTCTCAAAATGTTTTTATAGTCCCTGCCCTACTCCAGGATATAATTCAAATTCCACGCCTTGCATTGTTTTTCATGTCTCTACAATGTCCTTTAATCTAAAATAGTCTCCTCTGTCCTTATTTTTTTCTTTTTTGTCTTTCAAAACAGTGATAGAGAGTCCAAGTTATAGAATCTGCTGCATTCTGAATTTATCAGAATTCCTTATGATAAGAGTCAGACTAAAGGTTTTTCACAAGGATACTACGTAGGTAATATATTTCCTACTGTATTCCATCAAAACGCACAATGTCAGTTTGTCCCATTATAGGTGATACTTTGATCATCTGTCACTTTTATCTTGAACAAAGTGGTATTCACCATATTTTTCTATTGTAAAGATACTCTTTC